TCCAGTTCTCAATCACTTAATAAGGAAATTAATCTTATTGAACTAAGCACCCCTGACATTTTATTGGGCGTTAAATTAAGATTTCCTTTTGTCTGCTTCCAACTTCAATGACAAAAATATTAATGAACAAGAGAGGGCTAAAAAAAGGTCTGAAATTGCCACATATTTTGTTAGATACTCAAGCTACCATTGTTCAGAGGTTGTTCTTGAAGAAGGAGTTTGAAGCTTTTTTATAATGGAGGATTTGAAAACATCACCCTCTCATCAACTCCTAACACATTCTCAATGCTCTACGGCGTCATCCAAAAGGCAAAGCCCACTTGTCCTGGAAAATGACAAAAATATTTCACCTTCCCTCTTCTTTTTAGTTATACTTTCTTAATTGGCTTTATTTAATTGGTGGTGTGCAAAAGCTATTTAGACATGAGTGTACATGTAGCCTTTCCCTTTTGTTGGGTAAGAGATCTTTCAGCGGGAAGATTTTAGATGGGCAGCAAGGCATTAAGAATGGAGAAATTCCAACTTTCTCTTATTAATAAACAAGGTATGTTTTTCAAATGGAAAAGTTGTAAATAAATACAAATTTTTTTTTTTTGTATAACCAACTTGAAGTAGCGGGTTTAGGGTAAAACCGCTACTTCAAGTAGCGACTAAACCCAAAACGACTACTTCAGGTGTTTTTGGGTAAAACCGCTACTTCAACTATAATATTACAATTCTAACCCCTTGATCAATGAGTTTTGTTTCTCAATATAAGAAATTAGGGTAGCCTTTTGGGCATGTGTAGAGATTGAAAGAGATGGTGCAGTTTTTGAGTCCTCCATTAACAAAGAATTTTTCAAACACCTCCATTTTTTTGGAGGAAAAAAAAAAAAAAAAAAAAAAAAAAAAAAAAAAAACCTTCATTTGATTAATTGAAGAAGATGAAAGATTCATTTTTTTTTTAAAAAAAAAAAAGTACCAAGCCCCCTTTTTTTTTTTGAAGTATCTCATTAATTAGTGTACCCTGCGCCGGATTAAAGTGGGAAAACATAGCTTAGAATTGTAATTAACATCACAAATTTATAAAAGCACAACACTGAAATATAAAGAACACGGTAATTTTTAATAAACGGTTTTTAAAAAAAGATAACTACTAAATTGATTTTTACCATGTATTTAATGTCAAATCAATGCAAAATATTTAGTTTCTAGAATTTCTCTATATAAAAATATTTTTTCCCAAATATATATAGATTGAGGTTTCATTTTTAAATTTCAAAAATTCAAAATTTAAAATTTAAAATTTAAAATTTCATTTTCAAAATTTCAGTTTTCAAAATATTTAATTTCAATATCTTTTCTTTTAAAAGATTCTCTAAAAAAAAATAGATCATATTTTTCCAACCTTTTTTAAATTTTTTTTTAATCTGTAATTATAATTTTCATCTTTATGATGGTCATGTGTATTTCTTGAGAAATTCTAATATGTTTTAATGATTTTTTTTTATCAAAAAAAATGATGTCTTTATATGATTTAATGATGTATAAGTAATAATTTACGCTACTTTTTTTTTCATATGTCCATTTACTATATCATATATAGAATAATTTATATTTTTTGATAAACTATTATAAATTGTCCATGTTCTTTGATTGTAATTTATCATTACATAATGCTCATTTACTTATTGCGAAATATTCTTTGAATTTTATTGTTAGATCATGTTGAGTATTCTTTATTAATATTACGAATATTATTTAGATCTGAATATCAGTTTTCAATAGAGCATGTCTCAAAAGAATATCATCATCATCAACCTTCATAATACTAATTTTTTTTTAAAAAAAAAAAACAATACATAATTAGATGATAATTAATATCCAAAAAAAAATTAATAAATGATATTAAAAATTTAAGGTTCAAGTACAAAGAACATAAGAGATAAATTCAAATAACATAGACCCTAAAACACATACAAACTTAACAAAAATAACAAGAGCCCTTGAATTATCATAAAATAATATAAGGGATAAAACAAAATAATTCAATGATAAATATAATATCCAAAATAATATAAGGGTTAAAGCGGTTGAACACTAACATGGAAGAATATATTATCATAAAAGAATATATTATTAAAGTATAAGTATATAATTTGTATTATCGAAACCCAAAGAACATTTATTAATCTACATACCTTAAAAAACCTTGTTTGTACTGTAATATAAAGAGCATGTAGTTCAGAGCCAAAGAACTATCAGACTCAAAGAACATATTGCATTCCAATTAAAAAAAATATGGATCCAAGAAATAATAAAAGAACATACATTTATCATAATATGAAGAACATCATCTTCAACCTTAGAAAATAACACAAAAACAAGTAGGAAAAAAAAGTGAAAAATACCTTTTTTCTCAACAACGAAATTCGTCAATTACATCTTTCTATTAAATGATTCATCGGAACGATAAAATCGACTACTTAATAACATTGAATCACTTCAAAATTCAAATTTACCATGATTTTTCTCTCAATATAAAAATAAATTTCTCTCTCTTACTAAAAAAATAAAATTTTGTTCATATAAAATATTCTGTTAATATGGTATGTAAATAATAAATCAATTCCATTAGTCAAGTAATATAAATAACAAATCAATCCCTTATCAAGGAGGGAATCATTTTGTATTTTTTTTTTACTCATTTAATTTATATCTGTATATAATGTTCTTTCTGCATTTTTTATAATCCTTTTATTTTGAACGAGTGTGCCATACATCCCATTGTATGATAAAAATTTTAATTGAAACTGTGAGGTGATGATTAATTACGCAGCTGCAGTGAATTCCTGGGATGATGAATAATACCAAAAAAGGTAGCTTCAAGGTGTGATTTTGGATTCTTTGTATGGGTTAAATAATTAAATACGACTGTAAAAGGAAAGTGGAGCAAGTAATAATGTACAGAAAGAGTACTACTTTAAAAATAACTTTGTTTAATCTTAAATTGAACGTAATGTTTGTAAATATAATTCAACTCAATGAACTGATAATCAATACCCACATTAAGTCATATATATATTTCTCATTTCTACTTGAGTTACTGGCTAGCTCATTTTAAAAATGATTAAACTCTGTCCACTAACTCAATACAACTGTGTTCTGTATGGCCAGCTAACACACACCAAAACACGAGTAACCCCTAATCGAGTAACCCCCCGACTAACCTAGTAACCCCAGACTGAATAACCCCTGACCAAGTAACTCCTGATTGACTGAATGACCTTTGACCAATCGAGTGATCCCTGACCGAGTAACCATTGACCGATTGAGTAACCCTTGACTAAATAACCCCTAACCAACCGATCAAGTAACCCCTGATTTATTGAATGACCCCTGACCGACCAAGTAACCCTTGACCGAGTAACCCTTGACCAAGTAACCCTTAACGGAGTACCCCCTGTCAACCGAGTAATCCCTGACCGATTAATTCTTGATCAATTAAGTAACCCCTAAGTGACTCTTGACAGACCGAGTAATCGTTGATCGATCGAGTAACCATTGACCAAGTAACTCCTAACCGAGTAATCTTTGATCGACAGAGTAACCTTTGACCAAGTAATCTATCCCAGCCACACGGTGTGGCCAGCCACATATGAAATTTTGTGAACTCAATATATGTTTGGAAAAATTTACTATTATAAAAACAACGTGATCATTGTATATCTAATACTTCCTTTGTTTTTTTTATTAGTTGATACACTTCATTTAGGCATGTTTGCCAATGCATATTTTTAAATGTAAATATGTTTAGTTACGTATTAGCAAAAATTATGGAATTTTGATATTTGGAAAATAAACATTGAGATGAATCTAACAATATCCCACATGACTATGTATTTAGCTAACACTAAATAAAAAATTAAAAAAAAAAAACCGAAGTCAAAGTAGGTTATGTGAATAGTGCACATAATCCAAATGTGTAGTGATAAAGAAGAAGGAAGGAAAAAAAATAAAATAAAATAAAAAAACAGAGTTACTCTAGTTAGTATTGTATTTTGCGTATCACAAATGATGTCATATCTTTTTTCTCCACTATGACATCTAAAAACACTTAAAAGTTAAAACTTCTAAAAATGGGAATTTTCTTTTTTTCTTTTTTTAACATTTCCATGTAGCATGAATAAAAACACATCTTTTTATAAACATTTGATATTTTTATTATGTATATAAATATTAATTCTCATATTTTTCTAAATATTTGTAATATCCATAACATTATACGGTAGAAATTGTAAGATAAAATATTAAAGTTTTTGTATTCCTTAATCATTATAGCTAGCCCAGTCACAAAACAAATGTCAATCCACTATACAAATATTAAATTATCTATTAACTATTACCAAAACAAAACGTTGCTGACGTCATCACTGTTCACATGTCATTCACGTAATAAATTTTTTCCCGTCTAAATACAACGATGATGTCATCTTTTAATTAATTATTTATTTTATTTTATTTTACTTTATTTTTATTTTTTTTGGAGCTACTATATTTAAAAATTTTGAATTTTGAATATTATTAGCTTCTACATTACAAGTATAACCTATCAATTGAACTTTAAAAGATGAAACAATTGTAAATAGCACACTAATAAAAGGACTCCTACATTGAAATATGTATTAGACGACGTTGAATAGATATTGTATCATAATATTAATGAAAATCTAAAACTATAAAATTACAAATATTTTTGTACAAAATTCATAATTCTTATTCATATTTATCCATTTTTTTTAAAATGTACAAATTATAAAAATAACCTAGTGTACTAATATAATGCATCCATATAAAGCAAAATAACTTTCATTTAAAAAATAAATAAATAAATAAATAAACCCTCTAAAACAGGGACACATGGCAACAATGGAGCTAGTGTACCCTGTTTTAGTATAGCATATATATATTTATTGGCATTTTGAGTGAGAGATAGAGATCAAATCTTGCTCCCTTCAATATTTTCCAAAATGAAAAGTTGAATATATCATGTGTAAAAATGATTTGAGATTTTAGCATCCTCAAGATACAATGTCCAACAAATTGTGCTCCATTTAGGGATTTGTTAGTTTACAAGTCTTACAAGTTACAACCAACAATACTCTTCATGCCCAACGAACAGAAAATTTCCTTGATTAGCTTCATGTTCATTAATTTTGCTATTTGTATTTTACTTGTGTTAAAATAAAAAAAAAAAAGAAAAAAAAGAAAAAGAAAAAGGGTATAGGTACAGGCTACAGAGAAATGAAATTCATAACCATGAACGATGTGTTAACAAGTCACAACAAAACCAAGCAGCTGACTAGAAACATATGACAAAGCGCCTTGATCAAAGCCATGATTTAGAAGCCAAACCTGGCTTGACACAAATAGGTTTCCAAAGCCTGAATGAATTCTTGAATGGTAAACTCATGGCGATGCACATATCTTACTCCTTTGAAGCACAACTTCCAGGTTTTGCAGGCTTGATATTTGCCTTTGTGAACCAGGTGGTATACAGAAATTGCTTATGAGGCCCAACATGGTTACAAATCATTTTAAGTTTTTGTCTCTCTCTCATCCACCTCATAACTGTTTTCATGTGCGTTTTGCTTGTTAGTTCCTTCAAACCAACTTCCTGAAAGGTATTACAGCTTGGTTAAAACAAGTTTCTCAATAATGACCAAAACAAATAAGATGTACTTTGTACAATCTAGTAGCTAGACAGCATATTCTCAAACCCTTTCGGGATAAATCACTTACTCAAATCCCAGTCTATTTGACACACTTCTAATGGTTTAAGCAAACACATGATTATTCAAACTACTAAATTAACACTTTAAAAATAAACTATGAATAATCAACACTCTGAAATTACACAAAAATCTTAGCAATCACATAACAGAAACTCGAAAATGAAGATTGAACTTAGGAAATGGTGAAACATGAGCTCCTCAACTGCCCAGGTAATTTGTCCACAATCCACATGAAAAAGGATTCGTGATCATAGAAGCTAGAAGGCAATGCTCAATACTTGTTAGCTATCAAACTTTTGACAAAATTTCATTAGATGATAAACCAATACGGCAATAATTAAATACAAAAATTAAAAGGTAATAATATTCAGAAGAAATTGTGTTAAAGGTGCCTGAAAGTTACAGCAGCAGATCTAGAGCAGCAAAACAAGCCATGATCCTTATTTTGAAAATACTAAGTACCTTACATTCTTACAACAGCATCAGAACTTGTAACAATGAAAACATTATGGACAAGCTTTTAATCTTTAAAATGTTTGTAACAATTTCCTCTTTTAGAATGCATCAAAATCACCATGCATATAACGGAACAATGATAGGATTACTGCAGCCTATGCTCCCAAATCAATCATAACACCAAATTAGGCACACATGCCACGCAACCAAGAAAACAAGAAAAATTCAGGATTGAGGTAAGATTTCTTATAAAAAGTACAAGCCGACTCTATAGACACACATATATCAATATATGATCAAAACATACATGATTATTAACAGTTTTAGCATCGAAAAATCTACATCATCAACAATTTAGAGCATTCAAGCAAGGGAAAATTGGTATATTTAACCTCATAGTATCAAACTCAGCTTTCACTGCTTCTTCAAGAGTGAGGGCAGTCCTCCCTCCGCCCAATACTATTTACGGTGTAATTTGAACTATTAACATGACAACTTAAATTGGTAAGAGGGTCGTATTAGACTATAAAGAACATCACCATTAATATAATGGACTTGATCAGCCCTCATTTCACGCGTGTTTACGACTAATTGGACCCGATCAACCTTGATTAGACCTGTCCTGAAACTTTAATTTTGGTACAATTTTAGAACTATCGTTTTCCTGTGAAATTATAGACTTTAACTCACTTCAAAATTCACAACAAAAGCCGCTAAATACCAACAATTCTTAGTCACAAAATTAACATCCCAAAATCAAAAGCAAAACATTATCAGCAATTCAATTATAGGAAGAAAGAATCACATACTATTAATCAAATAATGAACAAAATTATCCCAAAATCAACGATTAATCAGCAATTACATAGTAACAAATATTTGTCAAAAATACCTTATATTATCCCGAAATAAACATAAAATCATGAGCATTCGATTGAAAAAGAGGGAGGAGAGAGAGGAACCTGAAGTCGTTCCCAGGTTTGAGCGATAGTGAGAGGACCGTGGTCCTTGAGGATGTCAAAGATGGCGCGAGTAATGGTTTGAGTTTGTTCAGGTTGTTGAGATTTGAGGTCTATTGGTTTCATTTTTGGCTTTGGTTTCTTGGCAATCAACAACCTTATTGCTGTTCCAAACACCATCTTTAGGCCTTTTTCAAAACTGCTTTGGGGGTGGGGGTGGGGGTGGGGGTTGGATGTCAATATATCATGCTTGTTTGAGTGTGTGACATAAACCCCGGTTGGCTATGGGGTTTGCAAACGAGTCCCCCTGGGCGCATAAGCCCTATTTGTTTGGAAAGCAAATAGGAGGGCGCAATGGTCATTTTGGCAAGCTTGATTGGATAATGAGTGGAACTGACTTTTGGTTTACCCCGTTATTTTTTAAATTGTAATGGACCTTAGTTTTGGGTGCTTATGTATTATTTTATTTCATTTGTCATATATATTCTCATTTTTCTCTTCCGCTTCTTCTCTCTCTTCCGATTCTCTCTGTTCATCAAATTGTCTCAGTTCTCTTCATCTTCTCTTTTCGAACCTCTCTACCTATGTGGTTAAGTCTTGAAGCGTGGTGGTGAGCACCTGGTTCGGGGAAAAGAAAGCATTCGTAGTTGGAAATTGTGAAGTAGACGGCTTTGTGTTGTTGAAGGTACGGGTTTAAATTATTTAGCAATCAAATTGAGAATTTGTTTTTGTGTTGTCAATTTACTGTTGTATGATAATGTTTGATTTGATTGTGAAGAGTTTTTGATAGTTGTTCTTAATTTTTTGAAAATTAGGGTTTTCGCTACTGTTAGGGCCTCACCTCGACTCTGTGTATTATAATCACTAAATATGATGTTAATTATTCGCTTAGTTGTTATTTTGATTACGAAATGCTTAAATAAGTTTGGTGGTTGTGTTAAATTTCGGAATTTGATTTGCGGAGTTAGGGTTTTGACGATTCTGTATAAATTGAACAAAAACAATCGTTTTAAAGCGCAATTATAATTGAGCAATGCAATTGTATATGTCGAATCATTTTGGTGTTGTTGTTTAAAAAGAATAGATAACTAGGCTAGAGTTGTCCGGAATTAGGGGAGATGTTTTGTGCAGGTTGATTGATATAATTGTTGCCAAATTAATATATTGTGGTAATTAGATGTGTTGGTATTGAATTAATTTCAGAAGCTGTTGGTTGTTTTTTCAATAGTTTTGTTTTGATTGGCAAAAAGTTCTTGCAAATTGAGAAAAGACGGGTGTGAAATTTGCAGGAGGGATTAATGAAGACTAACACGAAGGGTTCTGTAATGGTGCCCCCCATGAGGGTTATGGTGAGTAAATTGTTGAATAATGGTTGTTTTGCCTGGCATGGTGCATGTAATATATTAAGATAATATGTACATTGTTGTAGGGGAGTTCGAAAGCTGCAAATAATGGGGCTTCGGATGGGTCTAAAAAGAAAGCTAACTATAAGGGGAAGAAGAAAGTGAGAGTTGTCTCTGTTTTTGAGCAAGAGACATTGGAAGATAGCTGTGAGCAGAGTGCTGCTGATGATGATGTTTCAAATCCAGATTTTTACTCAAATAGAAAATCTGATCCGGACGATGATGAGGAGGACGATGACGATGTTGATGCAGAGGAACAGTTAGAGTCTGAAGACCAGATTGAAGAAGCACAACAGGAACAGAGTGACCTGGATAATCTCCTTGTGAAGTTGCTGATTGAGAAGATTAAAAATGGAAAGTGGAAGGGAGTTGGTAAAAAGGCTAAGGTGAAGGTATGGGTTTTGAACTTGTCTGAATTTTGTTTTTAATTAGTTAAGGAACTTGAATGTGGAATGATTTGTAATGAAATCTGTTTGTCCAGGCTGAGAAGACAAAGGTTGAGAAGGTGAGGGCTAAAGGGTTGTGGTAAAAATGCAGTCAAGAACTACACCAAAGGTAATCTGCTGCCTTGTTTTGTGTTGTGTTTTGTTGCAATGGAGTATCTGATTATGGTATTTGTTATATATAAGTGAGTGATTATGTAGGTTATTAAGTGTTCTGGTTTTCTATGATTGTTGGGATTGATGTCTTGCAATGATGTTTGAACTTGGTGTGTATGATGTTTGGAGTTGCCTTGTTGTGTTTGTTTGCTGTTTTGAAAGGTTTGGGTATTTGAACTTAAGTCATGGTGTAATTTTGTGTGAATGTGGAGGGAGTAATTAGTCTAACATTGAGTTCATATTTTAATGTAATTTATCATTGTAATGGAGTTAGTTGTTAAAGAAATAGAATTTTTAAGGGGAAAATGATTGAATATTGAAATGAATCAATGTTGTGGTTGAGTTAATTTGGTTGGGTGACTCAAATTAATTTTAACTTACTGGTGTAGGCCCTTAATTTGAATGGTGCGAAGGCCTTTAGTAGTATAGTTCAGAAGTTTGATGACTTCAAGAAGAAGGTGGTGACAGAAATGGGTTTTGGTGGATTGTTAAAGATCCCATTTAGTTACTTACCTCGTAAATTTGCGTACTGGCTACTGTCTGGGGTCAAGGGGGATGGTTCCCTTGTCTTTGGTGATCAGTATGTTGTTCCACTAAGCCCTGTTTAGGTGGAGTATGTGCTTGGGATTCCAATGGGTTCCAAGGAAATTCCAGCTAGGATTGAAGAGATGCATGCAGAGTCAAGAAGAATAGTTCAAAGGTATTCAAAGGGTGGTGATAACATCTTCTCGTTATCGGTAGCTGCCGAGTGAGTGATAACACTGAGGGGAATGTATTGCCTCTTTCTAATGATGTCGAGAAGGGTGAATTTAAGATTGGCTTTCTTATAGTTGCCTTGGGGTATTTATTATGTGCTACGACGAATACTAGCCATATGGCAGTTGCACTCACCCCGGCATTGCTTCTGTATGATGAAACGGTGGAGTATGACTAGTGCACATGGGTGTATGAGTGTTTGTGCACCGCACCAAGGAAGTTCCAAGAGAAGTTTCAAGAAAATGGATATGTTGCCGGATCCGGTGGATGTATATTGTTTGTGCTGGTAGGTAGTTAGCGGATTTTATTTTAATTTTGGTTTTTTTTTATTATTATTGGTGTGTTACTTTTATTACATCTTAGAGCTAATGGTTATTTGATTTTCTTCGCACATATTTTTTACCTTGACCATCTGAATCGTGTTCCCATGTCATGGGGTGAGACGCCGAGATTGTAGGCTTGATCGCAAGAAATATTAAATGAAGGCGTGTCAGATGACAAATATGAACGGCTGCCGGTGAGTTATCTTTTTTTGTAGTAGTGGTTTTGCAAAACCTTGTAAATGATGTGTTGGTGATTAGTTTGTGCTTATGTGTTGTAGTCTTTGAATATTGTGTACGGTGAGCCACATCCATTGTCACCTCGTGATGAAAGAATGAATTCAAATGTAGAAGGTTGGATTACGGAGAAGGTATACATTAGTTTGTCAAATTTTCACTTTATTTCAATATTGCTGGTTATAAGTAATGCATAGGTTGTTTTACCATTAGTTGAGTGTGTTGTTAATTGTAGGTTGTGTGTGTTGCTCAATTATTTGCAAATAAATTGATGTGTTTTTTTTTTCTGAACTGTAGGTGATGAAGAGGTTGACTCCTCAATAGATAAAAAAAAAAGTTGCTCATGTTTTTCAGTCATTGACTGAGTTGATGGGAAGCTGTATTGACACAGCTATTGCAAGGAAATTGTCATCAATGTCAGTTGGTGATCCTGATCCTGTCGTTAACAAACAAGTTGAGGCGGATGGTAGGCAAACAGTGTTAGCAAAAATTGATGGCTTTGTAGCAGTTTCTGGTTTGGTTCATGGTGTTGACCATGTTGTCAAAGAAAGTGAATCTTCGATGGTTGATAAAGGTTTAAACACTATGGTGGATTTTCTACTAGTGGTGGATGGGGTTGTGTTGGATGGGGTTGAAAACAAAGAAAGTAGTGAACTTGAGGTTAGTGTTGAAATCATTAGAGATCATGTAATTTGTCGTGGGTTTAGGTTTAAATACCATGTGTGGATTTGGCACTGTGAAAAAGGAGAGTACAGTGGAGATGTTGATGGGAATGATGTGCATAATAGAAGCAATGAGATTCGTGTGGACAAGGAATACGATAATGATGAATATATTATTGATAATGGTGATGAATGGATTTGAGGATGATCAGGTGGATGAGGTCGAGGATGAAGGGATGGGTGAGATGATGCATGGTGTTGAAGTTGACGTGTTGTCATTATCGGAGGCTTCTAAAAAGCCTTTGTATTCTGGGTGCAAAAAATACTCCAAACTATCAGCCGTGCCAACACTTTTTGACATTAAGTCGAAGCATGGGTGGGTGGACGCTAGTTTTACTTCTTTGTTGACCGCGTTAAGTGAGATGTTGCCCGACGGGAATGAAATTCCTAAGTCTTACTATTATGCAAAGAAGCTCATGTGTCCATTTGGTTTGGAGTATAAGAAGATACATGCATGTCCTAATGATTGTATTCTTTATCGAAATGAATATGAAATTGGAGGAGTGTCCATGATGTAAGAAGTCGCGCTACAAGCGCATGAGTTGCAATGCTGGTACGAAGGGACCTCCTACTAAGGTGTTATGGTATCTTCCCATTATTTTAAGGTTTAAGCGTCTATTCTCAACACCAAAAGACGCTAAAAACTTAAGGCCGCATGTAGAGGGAAGAAAGAAAAACAGAATGCTGAAGCATCTAGTTGATTTCCCGCAACGGAAGAACATTGATATGAAGTTTGGGAAATTTAGTGATGAAGTCAGAAATTTAAGGCTTGGGTTGTGCACGGACGGGATGAATCCATTTGGCACTTTAGCACACAACACAGCACATGGTCGGTACTTTTAGTGATCTACAATTTGCCTCCTTGGTTGTGCATGAAACGTAAGTATATAATGCTTTCACTGCTAATAATGGGGCTAAGGCAACCTAGAAACGATATAGATGTTTATCTTGTGCTACTTGTTGACGATTTGAGAAAGATGTGGGACGAAGGGGTTTCCGTTTTTTATGCTCATAAGAATGAGATGTTCACATTGCATGCAGCTCTTATATGGACCGTTAATGATTTTTCTGCATATGGCAACTTGTCTGGGTACAACAAAAGAAAAAAAGCATGCCCCATTTTATTTACCTCTGGCTTGCTACACATTGTCAAGGGTAGAAAAACGGATGTTTTGTGCATGTCTGTACGACATTAAGGTTCCATCAGGGTACACATCTAATATGAAAAGATTTGTATCCGTAAATGGAGAATTGAAGCTGACAAGTATGAAATCCCATGATTGTCACGCCCTGGAGCTGAGTTAGTGCTCGGACTGCTAGGTACTAAAGGCACAACTGTGTTGTTTGATGCTGGGAGTAGTGTGGGGAGTTGCTCTTCATCTTATAGGGAAGATGAGTTAACTGGTAAGGGGGATGATACTGCAGATAAGTGGTTAGTTAAACCTACCGAGAAAGCTTTGTCTGCGATGTTCACCAATGTCTCAAAGATCTGAAGGCATACGACGCTCGAGACACCTCTAATTCAGTTTTTGCCGCTAGAAGAATTAAATGACCCATTGTGGTAATTATCCTCTGCTTCATATAGTTATTAATCTCTTCTTGCTGATGTTTTGGATGATGTTGTTATTGAACTATTTAATTTAATATGTTGATGTGGTGTACTAGTGGTTTGTGTTTGGATGATAGCCTTGACACTGTTTTAATTAAACGTGACGATATGGAAGCAAGTAAAAGGGATTGCTTTGGCGTAGTGCACCCTTAATCAAGGGTGTCCTCTGATTATGTCAAGATGGCAAGTGTGCTCTATGTTAGGTTTTGCGGTGTCCGACACCGCGCGAAAACAAAACCCGAAAACCAGATCGCATGCATAATAATTGCAGCATAAATAAAAGCATGCAAATAAGTAAAACATAAACACATAAAGAGAAGAGAGAGAAAGAAGCTCACCCTTGACGCGTGCTTCGCTCACTAATCGATCTCGGACTTGGAAAATTTCAAGCCTCGCAAATGCAAGACCTCCAACGTCTCACACCCTTGATCACCGAACTGGCCCCTATCCCGTAGCTTACATGGGGCTAGACCAAAATTACTTAGAGTTTACGAACTAAGATTTTCTTACACTTTGGGAGATCCCTTAGAGTTGACCAACTCAAGTAAAATTCCCAATACCTAATGATTGGTATATATAAAGAATTGTTCACAAGATTTCCCATCATATTTCCATGTGGGAGAATTGGTGAAATGCCAAAAGAATAAATTAATTTAATTCTAAATTAAATTAAAATGGCAAAGCAATTAGCAAATACCAAGTGTCACAAGGAGAGAAAGATTTTAGGTGAGGACCACAAGGGAGGACCACACCTCCCTTGCTCCCCAAGGCAAACCCCTTCTAACAAACCGGGTCCAACCCCTATGACCAACAGGCAGCAAGCCTTGGGCACCAAGGCGCGTGCTGGCGGCCTGGTGCTTGCCTGGGCCTGCCAGCCAGCCCGTATGCGCGTGGCCCAGCCAGCAAGCCTGGCACGCAATGCGAGCTTCTGCGCTGGGTGTTGTTGCTACCAACGAGACCCAACACGCCTTGCTTGCTGCTGGCCTTGCTGGCGCGCCTCCAAGCATGCATGCTCTGCCTTGCTGGCGAGCTTTGCCCGCATGGCTGCTCGCCCAGCCAATGCATGTGATGCATGCTAGGGTTGCGGCCAAGCTTTGCCTCGCTGCAAGGAGCTTGGCTAGCCATGCTAGCCCACCTAGCCTAAGCATGGCTAGGCCATTGCGAGGCTAGGACTTTCGCGCGCGTTGACTTGTTAGAATAATTTTTCCGTCTCGCCGATTCCTAAATTCGACTCGATTTTCGACGCTCTAAGTTTGGAATCCGACGTCTTAGTCCCTAAAATCTCTATCGACTCATTTAATCCTTCGAATTAATTCGTCACTTTGGTTCGATTACACGATTGGGTGTGACCTGAATTGTTCAGTCAAGAACAAGCTGTAATATTAATTATACAGTAATAATTTTATTGATCGGAAGCGGCCTCTAGCTAGGCATTCCGATCACTTGATCTCACTGAATAATTAGTTTTCCTAATTAATTCCGAACCCTGTATCGGAATAATACACTTGCTCGAAGGATACTATTCCTTTCAATCTCCTACTTGTCTTTCCGGACAAGTGTGCTGTTTGTGTATAGCCTGTGTCCTATGTCACTTAATGCCTCTTCTTGAACTATAAGGTAAGATTCTTCGTCATCCTTATTATGCCCAGAAGTGTTTCTCAATTTTCGAGTTCGATTGTCAAGAAGCAGATGATTTCGAAAATCCATCTTAGCACGGCCATGCATTTTCACAATCTCGCTCTTCGAGAGGTCTTTTAAACAACAAAGACATGTTCCCAATTGTTAATAGGGGGACATTCCCTGTCCTGCATTGTTAACTTCCCTTACTAAGAGGCCCTAGCCATCCGAGTGTTGCCTTTATAATCCCCTTGTACGGCAGACGTTTGACAACATCAAAACGGACTAGAACTCAAACAAGAGAACTAACAATACTCATGGTCGAGGAAAGAGGTTCCGATAGCCATAATGAGTAATATACTTACGACGATTGTTAAATCTCTTAAAGTATTCTCATAGGTCGATCCAGTATATTTCCAAACTAATACCTGTGCAAATGATTTATGACATTCTTGTCCTTGTAGCATACGAAATGGTGCTATAAATCATTCTACACACTAATTTCATGTGGTCATTAGTCGTCCAATTTTCAAATGACCTTGGTTAGGGATAATTTCGATATGATATTCAACTTTCTCTTAATAGGTGTTTCTTTATCCAAGACATTGTCTTGATACCCTATTTTGAATATTCTCAAATCGAATGGACTCATTATTTAATTCTAAACCACAATTAAATAGGTTGTAGAATTATTAGAAAAAAAATAATTTATTCCACTACGAAACTTTTCAACGTTTCATCTTATGATAAATGGTTTTCCCCAAATGTTTTAAGAGTAATACCACTAGTAGAAAAAACTAAATAGGCACCCCCTCTATAGCACCGGTTCTTGAAAACCGGTGCCAAAAAAATGAGCGGGAGTTAAAAATTTAGAGTTGGCACCGGTTATAACTTAAACCGGTGCCAATCATGTAATTAGCACCGGTTCAAACCGGTGCCAACTTTTTTTTTTTTTTTTTTTTAAAATAAAATAAAATTATGGGATAGAGTTCGCACCGGTTTAAGGAGAACCGGTGCCAACTATGCTAATTTGCACCGGTTCAAACCGGTGCCATGTTTGAAAAAAAAAACCCGGGTTCTTCTTTGTTCTTCTTCAGTTCACTGTATCATTGAATTCATAATTCAACGTTTTCTTCGTTCTTCAATATTTCCCTCTTTTCTTCTCCTAGCTTCTTCATTCAACAGTCTTCGTTCTTCCATTGAAGGGTTGTGAGCTTTCTCACCTCCATTGAAGCAGTACACCGATCGTGCGTACTCCATATATATCCCTCCATTGAAACAGCTTCAAGCTAAGGTAAGTATCTATTAGGTTTTACTTACTCCATTGTTGAATTCCTTTGTACTCTTGAGTTTTTGGTGGATTTGCTTTACAATTTAGTAATTACAAGTTTCTTGTAATCTAGGGTTTGTCAATAGATGCGCATTGCCCCCCCTCCACAACGACCTTCTTACTCTCACAGTTGGTCTAAGGCGCGAGTTTTAGGTACTTGTCCTAAAGGGCATGGGTTCGAAACTCATTCTTGACATGTTTTATTAAATTTTTGTACTGTGCATCTTTCTGGCTTCAGCCCTTGGCTGTTTGTGTTTTGGTTTGCTGTGCCTGGGTTGTAGAGGTGTTGGGCTGCTGTTTCTTTTTGGCTGCTGCTGTCTGGTGCTGGGCGTTAGTGTTTGGCTGCTTTTGTCTGGTGCAGCTCAGTGAGCCTATTTTTCTTGGCTGGCTGTTGCTTGTATTTGGTCAGTTTGTTGTTGGTTTGTTTGCCTGGGTTAGGTTTTTGTCTGATTGGGTTTGTTTTGTTAGACTTGGTGTGGAATCTGCTTGTTCATGCCGGTTTTTTTGTTGAGGCAATTGCTCTTTCTTGTTGTAGGCCTAGTTGTTAGGCTGATTGTATAGGTGTTGTTTGTTTGTTTTTGAGGATTGTTTTTGTACGTTTTGACTGTTTAGCCTTTGTAACTTTGAGGGCTTGCCCGCCTCTTTTGGTATTAATAATATCACTTACTTACCAAAAAAAAAAAAAGACTATGAAGGGCGACATTGAGGACGAGGTAATGTCTTTGGTAGATGAGACTGTGAATGGTGAGGACGAGATTGTAGAGAAACAGTAATTTTTTAATTTAGTCACACTAATTAAAATGACTCATTTCTTGTAATTATGAAATCATAAAATTAAATACAAGTTTCAGAATGTGTGAAGTCTCAAGTTTTATGTATTGTTATTGCCTTTGGGGGGGTTAGAATGAACCATTTATGTAAAAGCTAATAAGCAAAATAATTTATGCATAGTTTCACATTTGGTTGCTAACTTTAGAGTATCTCCAATTTCTTTGGATGGTGATATTGGTTCTTTGATTCTGCTGTGAATTTGTGAAGTTTGTTGTGTTGTTTCTTTATATTGGATGAAGTTTGCGGTTTTATGTGCTGCTTTGTGTTGTATGTTGTTGCGGTTGAGTTGCTGTTGATGTGTTGCTGTTGAACTGATGTTGGTGTTGTGTGTTGCTGTTGTTTTGTTGCTGCATAAGGGCTAGCAATGCTGTGCACATCAGCTACCAGTGCACAGCACCAGTGCACAATACAACACCAGTGCACAAGTGCATCAGGCACCAGTGCACAGCACAACACCAGTGCACCAGACACCAATGCACCAGACACTAGTGCACCAGGCACCAATGCACTAGTGCACCGGGCACCAGTGCACAGCACAGCACTAGGCACCAGGCAGTAGTTGTGCAGCAGCAGTGCCAGCAGTGCAGCTGTTGTTCTGTTGCTGCGCTGTTCCGCTGTTGCTGTTATTCTGTTTTTCACTAGTTGTTTTGCCCTTCCCCTTTTTTTTGTTCTACTTGTTTCTTACCAGTGATATTCCAAATTGGTGCAGGAAGAGACCCGTTGTGAAATTCTTCACCCGGGCGAATCTCTTAGTGGAGCTTTGAATGTCGTTGCATATGGTAGTGCACAATTGGCCGAACAAGGTACGGTCCATTTGCGACCGCTTCGACCTGAGCATTATTCGGTCGGGATCCATTCTGTGGTTGCCGGGTTCGAGGACATCCTAATACATGTGCCCGTAGAGGAGGATGAGTTTACTACACTTTGGGCAGCAAAAGGTAGTTTTGTGCAATGGCCATGTACTTGGATACGGTTGATGAACCAGGTAATTAAGATTTAAAGTTCACGCTTTATTCTATACCCTATTTTCATCCCAAGAGTTGGATGAAATTCTTTTCTAACCATTTGTGTGATTTGTCTTATTAGCCATCGAGGAAAAGCCAAACTCCAAAGAAGAGGGTGGAGGGGCCAAAAAGCATTGATCAACCGATGCCAAAGAAGAGGAGTGAACATGGCTCGGTGAGTGGAAAAGCGTCGAACAAGAGCTCTTCACGAGGTTCAGCTATGCAAGCTACTCCACTAGTTGAAGACACGGTGCTTCAATCGCTCTCTAAGGAGTTAACTTATGTGCACAACCGTGTTTGCGTGTTGCCTAGTGACAGCCCCATTCAAGTTCCACTACCTAAGGAAATGTTCCACTACGATGATGATGCAATGGCATGGCTATTAAAAGAAGATGTGAAGGAATTTCTAAGTGGTGCAATGCTTAACATTTCCCTCATTCAAATATGCATCAGGTAATTCAACTAGTACTCAATTTATGTTATTCAGTTTAGTGGTGATTGTCGGTTGGTTTTCGATTAACATTCTATTATCAAGCATGCAGAGCACTCCAAGAGCACTTATGGGAGCTTGGTTCTCCGTGTCAAATTGGGTGGTTATACCCTGAGCAGATCTCCACTGCTAGAATCTTAGGCAACCACGCTGACGTGTTGTACTATGTTGAACGGGGTATTAAGGAATCAGTGCGTGCGGGAGACATGTTTATATTTGCCCCATATTATGAGGAGTACGTTAGATTATGCTTGTCAAATTCATTTGTTTTCCCATTTTATATGTTGTACTTGCCTAATTATTGATTTGTTTGTCTCGTGTGAATGTATGTACATAGTTATCATTGGACCCTACTGGTGATTTGTGTTTCCAGTAACACAATCTTCTTCTTTGATTCTGCTCAGTTACCTCAACCAAGAAAGCGCCTCGTGAAGTCCATACAGCAAAAGTAAATATACATATCTTCAATTCTTGTTATTGATTATCATAACCTAACTCATATATATTAATTATACTAATCAAATTTGAACTTCCGACGGCTCATACACTCGCTAACGAACCGTAACCGGTCCCTAACCCGAAGCTTAGTCAAGGCTAAGCTGAAATAACTCAGAGTTTAAGAACAAAGATTTTCTCGCTATTGGAGATCCCTTAGAGTTCACCAACTCAAGTGAAATTCCTAATACCCAATGAAGGGTATTTATAGAGAAATCTCCCCAAGAATTCCCATCATCTTTCAATGTGGGATAGTTGGTAAAAAGCAAAAATAAGATTTCATTTAATTCCAAATTAAATTAAAAAGCCAAAACAATCATCAAACGACAAGTGGCACAAGGAGAGCAAGGGAGTGGGTGAGGACCACAAAAGGAAGGATCACCTTCCCTTGCTCCCCAAGCATTGCCAGCACCAACCATGTGGCGCCAGCTGGCGCCCAGCCTTGGGCACCAAGGCACGCCTTGCTGGAAGCCTGGTGCTAGGCTGGGCTTGTCAGCAAGCCCGTACACACGCAAAGCCCAGCCAGCAAGCCTCGCACGCAATGCGGGCTACTGCGTTGTGTGTTGTTGCTACTGTTGTTGTCAGCGCGGCCTAGCACGCCTTGCTGGCTGCTGCCCTTGCTGGTGCACCACCCCGCATGCATGCTCGCTAGGGCTGAGCAAAATTATCCGAAAAATTGGGTACCTGAACAGTTTAAAGAAAACGGGACGGGTAACCGAACCGTTAAGAATTTAACGGGACGGGTTGCGGGTACCTATGTTGCACGGATACCGACACGGACACGGACACGGACACGATACGGACACGGAAAAACGGCAATCCTGAAATAGGGGACACAGGTACGGCATATAACAAGGCATATAATATATCAAAAAAACGAGAATTTGACAACCTATTCAATAAAACACTAAATAATTAGCCTCAAAACACACAATTTTGTTAAAACAAGTAAATAAACAAAGTGTACGAACGTAGTCTCATACATATCAAGAAACCATCAAACCAAATACATGTCTTAATAATAGTTTTACAAATCATAAATAAAATAAACAAAAGTACTAATAGTTTCATTCTTCACCATCACCAAGTACATCATCAAAAATCATATTCTCCATCTCGGGTTCATCAAGTGAGAGCTCGGCCATCTCTAGAATACCAACCTCTCCTAGGTTGTCATGCTCATCTCCACCCACATCCCACAACTTAGATCTCCCCTTAGTGTATTCTTCACTTCTCCTTGAAAGTAATCGAAGGTTGTTATGAATGTATACCAAGTCTTGAGCACGTTTAGGAGTAAGCTTATTTCTAGTGCAAGAATGAATAAACTTATAGGTGCTCCAATTCCTTTCACTACAAGAAGAGGAAGAAGGTTGACCTAATAGCTTATAAGCCAAACCTTGAAGCATAGGCACTTGGGAACCATAAGTTGCCCACCAATTTTTAGCATCCATCAAAGCCATATCATGCATGCAATCAATGTTGAGAAAGATCCCCTCTGATTTTTGTGAGAATATTGCAAATTCCGTGTTGATCTTGAATCTTTCATCGGGACTTTGGAAAAGCCTTCGAAAGCATTGTAATCTTTGTGTGGAAATTTCATTGTCGGCATTTGGAGCAACTCGTCCCGGGACCTCATTAAGCCATTCTTCCGTGTAAAATCTTTAACAACAAAATAAGAATAGCCATAAGAAATTAAATAAAAAACAAGGAAAAATAAATAAAGATGAATTAAATAAGTAAAACTTACCTTGGATTCAAAGAATGTGCTAATGAATGAAGTGGAGTACTACCCTTACTCCAACGACTACTAAGAATCCCTTTAACTACATTAAAGAAGGTAGATTGTTCATAATCTAGTTTACCCTCTTTCTTGTAGATGGCATCTTTCACCTTTTGAACCATAATGTCCCATCTTTCATAAACCAAATGCAAGGAAGATTTTTCGGTGTCACAAACCCTAATCATCTCATAGATTGGGCGTGTAAAATCAAGAATGTAATCAACTTTTTCCCACCATATTTCATCCAAAATCTTTTCCCTTACATGTGAGGCTTGCCCGCGTCGATCATCCTTGTATAAGGACCAATTCTCACTAATAACCATTGATTGAAGTGATGTTTTAAGGAGTTTCAACCTTTTAAGCATGCACACAATTGAAGCAAAACGAGTGTCGGCAATGCAAAGTAGTTTTAATGGCGAAAACTTATTGAACATTGAAAGCCTCATCGAATGATTCATTATGTAATTTTTAATGAACAAGGCATCTGCATGAACTTCCGTTATCCAATGACATTCATCATATACTTCAACATTATTCAACACATTCTTAGCTGCACAGATGCTTTTCATTGCAAGATTAAGTGTATGAACAACACATGGTGTCCAATATATATGAGGATACCTACCCACAACCAATTCCCCTGCAGCCTTACAATTACTTGCATTATTTGTGATTATTTGAACAACATTTTGATCTCCAATTTCATCAATCACCTCACTTAGTAAGGTAGCAATGAAATCTTTGTCCTTAATCTCACCCGAGCAATCAATAGCTTTCATAAACATAGGACCCGTTTCAGAAGCAATCATAATGTTAATCAAAGGCCTTCTTTGTGGATCACTCCACCCATCACTAACAATGCTAACACCTTTTGTTTTCCATGTGGCTTTCATAGGTTGTAATAACCTATCCACATTTTCTGTCTCTTTACAAAGCAAAGTTGTTCTAAGTTTGTTGTATTCGGGAGGCTTATAACCAGAGAGATTAGAATTGGCAGCCATTGTATATGAACTAACATAGTAAGGGTTTCTAGCAAGATTAAAAGGCAACCCCCCTGTGTAAAACATTCTAGCAATTTCAGAATCCAAGTGGTCACGAGATTTCACATTAAAAGCATCGGAAATTGTATTTTTTGATTTCCTCTTCTTTACATTATCAAATGAACCTAGTCTCATTGATGTAGCTTCAGTTGATGTGTGAGAAGATATGGGTTCATTTGAAAAAGGTGGAACTTTTGGTAACAAAGATTTTTTATAATCCTCGGATTCACGATGAAGCGATCTTAGTTTAGCAAGGTCATCAATTTTCACTTTATTACAAGTTTGAATCCCTTTCCCTTGTTCACCTAGCAAATGAGCTTTCACTCTAGTGTATGAACCATTTTTAACTTCGCCGCAAAAGTTACATTTCCAATTATAATTTCCTCCACCACCCGATATTTTATCACCCTTAACAACAAACTTCCACAAAGGGTAGAGGTCTTTCATTGACTCAGATGAATTACTACTACCACTGACATTGCATGAAGCAGAGGAACTAGAAGACATTCCTGACAATTTCAGCAACACAACAGCACATTTCAGCAAGACAACACAACAAAGTGAGCAACACAACAATACAATTTCAGCAACCAGCAAGTCAGCAATACAATTTCAGCAACCAGCAAGTCAGCAACTCAGCAATACAATTTCAGCAACCAGCAAGTCAGCGAGTCAACAATACAATACAATTTCAGCAACCAGGGCACAATACAATTTGACAGCTGAACCCATCTCACAATTAACATCACAATTAACAATTAACATCACAATTAACAATTAACATCACATTTAACAATTAACAATTGCGAATTACAGTGATACTGCCTCCACGACTCCACCTCACAATTAACATCAGCATTCAGCAATTGAATTTCAGAAAACAAAGTACAGAAGACAGAAGTCACATAACCCTTACCTGGTGGTGGACTGGTGGCTGGCGAGTGGCGACGGACGGTACTGGGTGGTGGACTGGTGGCTGAGGACGAACAACGACAGCCTGAAACCTAGGTTGAGCGAGTTAGCGACTGAATTAATTGAATTTAAAAAAAAAACAAAGTACAGAAGCCAGTCAAGCCACGGCCTGAAACCTAGGTTGAGCGAGTTACCTGGTGGTGGTCTGGTGGACTGGTGGCTGGCGACACTGTGGTGGTGGCTGAGGACGAGCAACGAGCGGCGAGTGAAGTCTGTGTCTCTGTGAGAGTAGACTGTAGGCGACGAAGCGACGGTGAACTGAGTGACGGTCTGGACCAGCAGCAGCAGGTGAAGCGACGGCGGTTATCGGCGCGACGGTGAGTGGCTGACGGTCTGGGACTCAGGGAGCTTGAGTAAGGCAGTAGGTTTGTGAATTGTGAATGGAGGAATTGAGAATGTGAGAGAGTCAGAGAGAATGGAGGAAGTTGGGCTTGTAAAGCCGTAATTGCGTGTCCATCACAAAACGGACCGTGTCTGGGTGAGACACGGCCCGTGTCCGTACAGAAGAAATTCAAAAAAAAAACGGACACGGATTTTCGCGTGTCCAAGACGTATCCCCCGTGTCCCACGCGTGTCCGTGTCCGACACGCGTGTCGACTCGGACACCCCACTTGGCAGGCGTGTCCGTGCATCATAGGCGGGTACTCGTTGACGCTGTTTCGGGTACCTGAATTTCCCGAAAATCTTTTTTTTTTTTTTTTTTTTAGCCACTATCCGAAAATCTCAAATGTCAGTTTTTTTTTTTAAAAAAAAAACCAGAAAATTAATGAAACAAAAAGTGAAAAACCCTAATCTTCGTTCTTTTCTCAGTCACTCACTGTCTGTCTCACTTTCCCACATCTAATTATTTGCAATGAATTGATTGAATTCAATTAACCCTAAACTCTTGTTTTCCCAGATCGTTGGTTCAATTTAGGGTTCTTCGAACTTTGGGGCCTTTTCACGTTTACGCTGCAACCCTTAACCCCTTCATCTCCTCCATTAAAGCGTACTTCGACTTCTCCATTGAAGCGTACTTCGACTTCTCCATTGAAGCGGCTTCTGTGGTTTCACTCCTCCGTCGAAGACTCGAAGCAACTCTTGAGGTAATTTACATTTTATATTATCTGTGGTTTGATTTTCGGATTCATAAATGATTTTTTTTTTTCCTGATTTTTTTATTGTGATACTATTATTTTGTTTTTTTTTTTAGGAATGATACTAATTTTGGTTTTCAGAATTGAGGTTTTTTTTTTTCTTTTTTGTCAAGTTGTGTTTGTTAGATTTGGATGAGTGAGTAAGGTGGGATTTTTGGTTTTGATGTGGAAAAAAGGTTGTTGAGTAAAAACTGGGATTGATGTTGCTGATAGTAAGAAGAATCATGAATTTGGCTATTTGTCGTATCTGGTTCTATCTCACAATCTTAATGACTTAATTTAGTTTAAATATGAGTAGTTCATTCATACACCGATCAATGGTTCCGGAAGGGGTAATGTGCATCAGACTGAGATAATCAGTGGTACCATTGCATATTATACTCCTCTTTGATGTAATTGGGTAGTGTAAATTGTATGTATCTTATTTGTTATGGGGGTTAAAATTGAGGTTATTAACTTACAATCGGGCTTAAAAAATTCTGAGAACCATAGCTAACTCAATCAAATCAAATATAGAATATTTGATACTGGAAATGACCTGTTTTGTATCTATTTTTATTGTTTAAAAGAAATTTTTGATCAGTCATTCTTCTAATGAGAAGCTAAAAAGTAAAACCCCCATTCTTGGCTCCCTTCTTTTCTTATGTATAGTAGACATTAGACAATACATTATTCTCTGGTTTCTTTAGTGATTGTTGTACTTTCCGTCATGTTAATAGTTTTATTTGCCTGCTTTGGAAATATTTAACTTTGTGGATGAAATATGCTTCACATTTCTACTGTTTGGAGCACTAAAGTTATGTTTAATGGAGATCTCTTTAGGTGGTCTCCACTGATTGAAGGCTCCATTCTCAACATTCTGCTATGTACTAAAGGTGGTAACCTTTGGTGGACCACCAACCACACATTGTGCACTTAATCAGAATTCTAGATTTCTATCATTAATTCATTATATTAATGCAGAGTCGCCAATACTTTTGGTAAACATGTTGAGTTAACTAGCTGTTCATTTACCTGTTTCTAGTCTGTGAACTTTGGTGGTACCATTGTTAGCTATGACTCATTGACTCATTCTTGTTATTTGTATATACATGATTGAACTTATTTGTTTTGTTCATTTGTAGGAGTGTATGGAATCTGGAAGTAGTGGGGATATGGAAGACTCATCAGCTACAAGTCAAGCTCCTCCAATTCCAAGTCCTCCTCAGGGAGTATGACCCTTGTCCAATGACGGAAAATAATGACCCCTTTGAGCAGCAAAATCAATCAAACCAACCTTCTGAAGCTGCTGATGTTGCTGCCCCCTTAAGTGAAACTTAAAAAAAAAACTAGAAAAAGGCGCTCTCCTCATTGGGAGCATTTTATAAAGAAGGATGGAGAAAACAAGGCTGAATGTATCTATTGTCATACATTAATTGGCTGTGCATCACTTCAAGGTACCTCCGGCATGAAGAACCACATAAAGCGGTGTAAGGAATACCCCCCCAAACATTGATCAAAATCAGCAGCTATTGTCCCTTAGTCAACAAAATCTTGATGGGAATCTTGTGGATAAAAAAAAGGTAGACTTGAGTTATGGAAATTCAATCAAGAAGATAGTAGGAAAGCTCTGGCAAAGATGGTGATTATGGATGAAATGTCTTTTCAAATGGTGGAGCATGAAGGTTTTCGCAACTTTATGAAGGTAACACAACCCTTTTTCATTATTCCTTCTCGATGGACAGTGACTAGAGATTGTTTTAGGATTTATTTGGATGAGAAAAAAAGTTTGAAAAGTTTTTTTAGCAAGTGCACTTCACGTATAAGTCTCACCACAGATACTTGGACTTCTTGCCAAAATATGAATTACATGTGTTTAACTGCTCACTTTATTGACCAAAATTGGAAATTGCACAAAAAATAACTAACTTTTGTATAATTGCTGGTCATTCTGGTGAAACAATTGGTAAATCTGTCCAAAAGTGTCTACTTGAATGGGGTATTTCTAGAGTAATGATTGTCACTGTAGATAATGCAAGTTCAAATGATGTTGGCATTCAATATTTGAAAAGGAGGTTTGAAAGTTGGAAGACATTAGTTTTGGGTGGTCGGTTTTTACACATGAGATATTGTGCTCACATATTAAGTTTAACCGTTAAAGAAGGATTGAAAGAAAGTGATGTGTCAATAAAAAGAATTCGTTGTGCTGTTAGGTATGTAAGATCATCGGGTGCTAGATTGCAAAAGTTTATGAGTTGTGTTAAACAAGAAAAGTTGGAGTCAAAACGTTTTCTTTGTTTAGATGTGGATACTAGGTGGAATTCCACTTATTTAATGTTGGAATGTGCTTAGCATATCGTAGGGCTTTTGATTTGCTTGAATGTTCAGATGGTGGTAAATTTAGGTATGAGTTACAGAAGTCAGATGGGGTGCCTGAACCTAGTGATTGGGATCGTGTTGCCTCTTTTCTTCCTTTACTTAAAATATTCTATGATGCTACTCTACGAGTTTCCGGCTCGTTGTATATCACCTCTAATGTGTATTTACAAGAACTTGTTGGGATTAGTGTGTTAATCAAGAAAAAAGTGTTGAGTAATGATGTGGGGGTGAGTTTAATGGCTAGTGGAATGAAGAAAAAACATGACAAGTATTGGGAAAATGTTGATAATGTGAATCTCTTGTTGTATATTGTTGTCATTCTTGATCCTAGGCGGAAAATGGGCAATTAATCAACAATATGATTCTGAAAAAGCTATGTAATTGTGTGATAAAGTGTTGCAAACTCTGAATGACATGTATGAACTTTATGTTTTTGAAAACCCTCCAAATGAGTCCATTCCCCCTAAAACTTCTGATTTTCCGGAGGAAGTAGAAGATATGGATTTTGATGTAGATGTTGCGGAATTAGAGTTTGAAAAGGAGGTGGGTTCATGTGTTGGAGTACAAGGGAAAAATGAGTTGGCCAAGTATTTAGAAGATGATAGAGAAGTTAGTCTTGTCGGAAAAAGCTTTGATTGTCTGGGGTGGTGGAAAAAATATGGTGAAAGGTACCCAACAATAGCTCTCATGGCTAGAGATGTACTTGCCATTCTCGTGTCAACAGTCACTTCCGAATCAGCTTTTAGCACCGGTGGTCGAGTGCTTGATTCATTTCACAGCTCACTCTCAACTAAGATGGTTGAAGCCTTGATTTGTGCACAGGATTGGTTACATACATCTCAAGGTCCTCTTATACTTGAGGAGAGACTTGAAGATATGGAAAAAATTGAATCAGGTAACATTTAAATATTTTCTCTTTTTTTTAATCTCATTATCTTCTTGTTAATTATTCATTAACTTTTTTTTTTAATTTTTTTTTTTAAAGAAATGTCACCTCTTGGTGAGGAACAATCTCTCTTTGTTGATGATGATTAGAGGCAGCAACTTATAATCATGAAGGACTGAAGGTTGGTGGTGATTGTATTGAAGGTCGGAAGTCATTGAAGGCTTGGAGTATTTTATAAATTATGATTACTATGGACTGTTTTTGTTTTTAAAACTATAAACTATGGACTTTTGTTTTGTTATGTATTGGTTTATTATTTTTAACTGTGGACCTTTTCTTTTAAAGAAACAGTATGTTTGTATAAAGTATTTGTTCATTTGTAATCGGGTTGATGTGCTGTGTTATATGTGTATTCAGGTTTAAATATCAGCCTATTAGGCTCTTATTTGTTACAAAAAAAATCACAGTACTAATAACAATAAGTTGGAACAAAAATATTATTAAGCAGGTGGGTATAAGGAAGAGTTCAGGCAGCCAGGCAGGAGAGGTGAGGAGGCAGCAGCCTCAAGGACAGGGATTGGTAGGCTGCCAAAGCGGAAGGCAGCGATAGTTGTAATCATTTTTGTTATTTGTGTATTTAAGTTCAATTGTTATAGTTCAAGAAATAGGAAGTAAAAAAAAAAAACCTAGTGGTTTGGTTCGGATATTTGGTTCGGGTACCCGTATTTTCAGGTATCCGAATTTACGGGTACCCGAACCTTATCGGAACGGTTTTGGGTATCGATTTTA